TTTCTGTCTCCTTCTGTTTGCTCTGGACACTTTCTTCCCTCTCTGTGTTTATCTGAGTCGCTGAGCTGAATTTTGTTGTGTTTGGCTCTAAAGTTTTGAGCCTAAGAATTAAACATGTCGTCGATGTGTTTGTGGTTTGTTTTTGTTGACGTGTTGGTGTTGTGTAGCGACGTCGTCTGTCTGTTCTCTGGTTCAGACTGAACTGGATGGACTGTCGTTGGATCACGTTCTCCTCAGAATCAATAAAGACTTTAACAATCAGTTAGCTACAGTTAGCATGCTAGCACGCTAAACATAGACGCTAAACATGTTAGCGCTAGATACCAGTTATCAGTGATTGATACTATCTGTGATCGATATATTATCTCTGATTGATTGATACCATTACCTTTGAATTATGACCTTCAAATCAGGTATTGATAAGTTATCTGTGATAGATGCCAGTAAGCGCTTACAGATGTCATTATCTTTGATTCATAAGTTATCTGATTGTTACTCGTGATCTCTGATTGATACCAACATGTCATTGACACCTGTGATTGATATTTATGTCTGATTAAAAGCAGACTTTACCTGAAGTGTTTCAGTCTGATGTTGTTTCACTACTTTTATTTTTGATTTAATTTAGACTTTTTTTTAATGGAGCCAAGTTTGGATTCTTCCAACTCCTACATGATACGATCATCAGTAAATGTAATATGTGAGTGGGCAGCTTGAGCTGTATTTATGCATTTACTGTGAACAGCAACACGTCTGACAGTTTCAAGCCAAATGTAATCTTTATTAGACTGTTTCTGTACAAAAAGCACTGGATCACAGGAAAAAAATGAACCAAAAAGACATGCATCTATTTACAGCATGGCCAGAGACAGAAAAGAAAAGAATCCGGCGGCGTCGCCACCGATTGTATTCTAAAGACATTAATTAAACATTGTGCTTTGATATACTTTGATGATATATTTCATATTTCACAAAGATGCAGTGCCTCTGCCCTCTTTCACATTGAAGTAAAACATCGAAAAAAGTATATTTTTCAGTAAGAAAACCAGGACGGTGACAAGCAAACTTTCTACAACTGTGACAGAAAAACTAAATAAAAAACCTTACAAGCTGTTTGAGTCGATGTTCGGTTTGAGGTGCGGCTCCTCTGTTCAATAGTTGAGCTGAAAAATGGCTTTCCCAAGAAACGGACGGATGTTCAGTCTCAAGCCGACGCGACGCCGCCGGTCCTGCTCGATTTGCATAAAGTTTGATCTGTCTAGACATAAGATTCCCAAAGAAATTTAGAGATTTGCTATAAAGGGATGCTGGATGGTTCATTTTTCTTTTGGCGCAAAGTTAATGAAATGTTTCCTAAACTGTCCTTAAATGAAAAACTGTGAGAAGCAAAAATCAGAATATATCCGCTGAGATTTTACTTTTTTGATTTAACCATCTGCTGCTTAGAGTTCGGAGGGTTAAAGTTTTGAGAGTTGAAGTCTCGTTTGCCTCTTCCCTTTATCCCACACTGAAATCCTATGAAGCAAAAACAAGAGCCTAATTTTGTTCAAAAGGTTTCAGCTTTACATTCTGCCATTAGATCAGTTCATCTTCTGCTGTACCTCCAGCTCGTCTGTTCTGTTGTGCAGAACTGCAGATGTAGCTGTTGCAGTACCTCCCTTTGTAATTTGGGGGCGCTGTTTCACACGACAGCCAAAATCAGGGAGGTTAGTGTTTTCCGAGCGTCGCTATCTGAGAGACTAACTCCTAACTTTCTCTTTGAGATGTTTCGGGAAACCTGAGGGACGAAAAAGAAAAAATCCTCGCAGTTTAACTCAAGTGCAGCTCAACAAACAAATTGAGATTCAAACAAAAACAATGTTCCATCATAAATATTAAAACGTTTTTTTGCAGATGGAGTTGCAGTCCCTCCCTGTGTGATTTGACACGACAACCAAAATCGGGGAGTTTTATTGCTTCTCAAGCATCACTTCGTGAAAGGTTTACCGCTAACTTTCAGTTTGCGTTTTTCTGGGGAACCACAAAAGATAAAATGAATCAGATTCAACCTGAAACAACATAATTTTTAAAAAATGAGCCGCATTCTTTGCAGGCGGCATTGCAGTACCTCCCTTTGTCATTTGGGGTCGCTGTTTCACACGACAACCAAAATCAGGGAGTTTTCTAAATGTCGCTAACTGAAAGGCTAACCGCTAGCTTTTGAGTCTTTAGTACATTTTTGGGGAAACTGAGGAACCAAAAAGAAAAGGTTGCAGTCTCGTCAAACAAAAACTGCCGTGAACTAATCGCTGCAGAACGTGTTGAGTTATGGTCAGTCGTAAGGCATCGAAATCTACTTCTTTTAGCTTTTCCAAACCTTCTTGTAGCTTGCATCACGGCACAGGAACACAGTTGCATAAGTAAATGATCCAGATTGTGTGCGACGACGAGAACAGCACCATCAACAACAACACCAACATCGATGGAAGTTTCCTTGAGATCGGTGACCCAAAAAACCCATTTTTAAAATCTGTGTTTTAAAAAATCACCAAAAAACACAAAGACTTGGAATCGGGTGGAATATTCTGATGGATAAAAACACCGAAACCAAAAAAAAAAAAAAAAAGGTTCATAGGAGGAGTGACAACGAAATATTAAAAAAATTCACATGACGAGGATTTTTAAAACGACGGGAAAAAAAAGGCGGGAAAAACAAACAAACAAAAAAAACGCATTGGTGCATATTGTTCTAGCTTTCATCTTTTTTTCCCCCCACTTTTATTAGCTTTTTTTTTCTTTTCTGCTAAGATGCATTGCTCTTATTAAGTGCCCCAACAAAAATAGTGCATTAAGAAATAACCATGATTATACATTTCACAATAATACACAAAGGACGAGAAGAAGAACCAGGGAGAACACAAATGATGCCGTTTACAAAAAGTTAAATATCGGAAAAGCAGTTTTATACAAAAGTGATGAAAGCGTTTGTTTTACGTCCTGCTTTCAAAAACAGGGTGACCGCGTCATGACGTTTTTTTTTTTTGTTGTTTTTACAAAAAAGGGTTAATTCTTCTCACTTGTTCACTCTTTTTACAATATCTAAAAGGTATTAAGACATCAAATGTGTTTACATATATATTTGAGACTATCATTCAGGCCTAAATCACAAAAGGAACTCCCCAAAACATACTTTATAAATACATAGAAAATAAGCACAATCAGAAGAATAACAAGTAAAATCTGGTACCTAAATGTGGTTAAAACTGCTGCAAGCTTTTTCTGGTTAAAATCTACCACTCGACACACCCGCGAAACAGAACTATTGTACTGTTTAAAAGAATGAAAACGAAAGAGGAACAGGAGCTGGAAATCAAACGTTAGTGGAACATCTGCTCACAAAGTTACTGCATTTTCCTCCTTTTCAGAACATGAGACACAAACGTGGGTAAAATCTACAGAAAGGAAAACACTCGTGATGTTCGTCGGTCCGGTTCTTTCAGGGTTTTTTGATTCTTCCGATTAAAAACAAATCTGAAAACCGTCTGACTTTTTTTTTTTTGTCCACATTTGAGAAAAATAAATGTTCCTGGTTTCTTGGACTCGGTCCAACTTGACGAGGAGCATCTGTTCAGACGAGAACCAATCGGATCTGAGAGCTTCAGCGGAGTTTGTTTTACTGGGACTTGCGTTGAATTTGAGCTAAAATGCATCTAAAAAGAGTTAAACTGCAAAAATTTAAGTCTGAAATTAGCCCATAAGGACAAAATGTTAAAACTGATGCAACATCTACAGAGAAAGAAAAGCATCAAACAGAAAAATCAATGAACTGATTTCAGAAAATAACTTCCGTTCAATTCAAAACCCAAAGTTTAAGATGACAAATCAAAATGTGCACATTTGAGAAACTGGAACCAGAAACATGAAGATATTTTATAATTAGGCTCAATTGATTGATGCAAATAAATGATCAATTATGTGATTCGTTTAAATTATGTTTTTATTTCAGTCAAGGAATTAATCTGCAAAAAAATGTGAGTTAATCGAGTTTTATGAAGTAAAAATGCTGAAGTTTTCTGGTTCCTGCAGATTTAATGTTTCACTTTGTTGCAAATCATCAAAAACCAAAGAAAATAAAAATAAAATAAAAAGTTCCTTCAGATATTTATCAGATAAAACTAATAATAATTGATTGATCTGCTGATTTAGCTGCTTTAGCGCTAACGTTAGATCACATGATGACCTGTTTTCATTTAAAGGAAAATTACAAAACGTACACGTTTCAGCCAAATTACAACTTGGTAAAAAAACACCCAGTGGAAGTGAAACTGGAGAATATCTGCCGCTAGTCGCTGACGTTTGACGTCGTTGCTTTGAGCTCGGCGACGTTTTCTCGCTGTGAACAGATGCTCCCGGTGGCCACGCCCTCACAGTGGTTTGAACTGATCTGTTCAGCCTCGAGAGTCAAACTGACACCTGCCCTCCCGCCCAGTGGCCACGCCCACACTCACACAGGCCACGCCCACACGCGGTGGCCACGGGGAGAACGTGATGACGGCGAGTAAATAAATGAAGGTTTCTCTGGTGCAGTGATGGATTCTGGATTCTGAGGGAGGACGGGAGGATTTTTCTTGGTGTGGTGGCGTTTGGGGTTCGGAGGGTCTGATGGCATCCGGCTGATTCCTCACATGGGGGGAACGATGAGACCTGCCATGGCTGAAACACAACACAACCGTCAGACTCACGGCTTCTTTTTCTGAAAAAAACAACATGTTGTTCTTTTACAACATACTTTAACTTTTCATTTCATGCACAGATGATCTGGACATACTTCTAACTCCG